GCCAGCACGACACGACTCGCACTTTGTGCGGGCCACATGCGAGTTGTGTCGTGTCGACCTAGCACAACCCAATTTACACCTCTACTTGAACCCGCACAATACTGGGGATGGGGCAAGGAAATTCAAGGATTCTACATCCTTGATGAGGAATGGGGTGCCTTGCCCCTAAACTCGCCCGGCATTGAGGAGTGGTTACCTTGCCCTGAACCCGCATGACACTGAGGACGGGGCGGGGATGGGTTTTTTATTTTTTATTTTTTATTTTTTGTGAAACCTGAATCTATTTCATTAAGACCAAAGAAAAAGATACAACTAAGACAGACAAGGAAAACAAAACAAAAAATACAACAACTACTGACTCAAGAAACAAACTACTACAGACGAACACAAAAAACTCAATCCAACTTTAATACATTCGATAGACATAACGGACTTGGAATACTAGACTCAAAACTTCCTGAGAAACCACATTTGGCCGTAGCATAGTTTGCTTCCCTCAGGCAAAATTGTACTCTAAAGTTTCTTCTTGTTGTAATTTCTTGAATATCTTTGCAGCAAAAGAGAACATCCAGGTCTTCACAACCATCAAAATCATTTAACAATTTAACTAAGTATTCACAATCTGATTCAATACAAAGGTTTGATTTGTTCATTTTGTCAGCAAAAACAACTACTTCTAAAAGGGCTTGAGCTTCTAATTTCAAAGGTGATGATTATTTAGCTGGCCCATAACCCGCACCCCAGCAGCACCCCAAATGATCTCTAATAATAAAACCAAAAGAAGCCTATATAGATGACTCCAAAAAACCACCATCAACATTAATTTTCAAATGGCCTTGATCTGGTGGGATCCAAAAAACATTCTTCTTTCCTTGGCTAGTCTTGGAAGAGCTTTCTGATCTCTGCTGCCAGAGATGATATCTCTCCCTGGCTAGAGTGTCTTGACTATGGGACAGGGAAAGAGATGGGGTGCCTTGCCCTGAATCCACCCCGTTGTCATTCTAATATAATTGTTAATTATTAGTGGAATTAACAAAAATGTTAGCTTTTATAATTATTTTTATTTATTTAAAGTAAATCAAAGTTTCATTTAAAAATAATAAAAAATATTAAAATTACTACAAATTATTAATAAAAATAAATTTATTAAAAAACATTTGTTCATATTCAATTAAGTGAAATTAGTTATTTACAATATCATTTACTTATTTAAATAATATTGTTATTTAAGTTCTTAAAGTATTAATTATTTATGGAATTTAATAATCCATAAAATTATAATTGTTCTATTATTACATAATTTGTTATTAAATTTGTAAAATATTAAATTATTACTAATATGAATATTATGAATTCTATTATAATTATTTTTCTACTTTTAAGATTTTTTTTAATTTATTACATAATTTCGTTATTTTAACTATTTAAAATTTTGTCATGTTAAATATTTTTAGTTATTGAAATATTTAAATAATGTTCTATTTTTTAATGATAAATTCTTATTATTTGAATAACATTTAAATTGAATAATTTGTAAAATTATAATTTTTATTGTTACTACATAATTTCATGATGAATTTTGTAAAAATATTGAATTATTAATAATATGAATATTATTAAATCTATTAATTTTTTTGTGTTTTGAATAAATATTTTAAATTTAGTATATAATTTTGTTATAACATTTAAATAGTTCTGAATTTTTTTTAATTGAAACTTTCTTTAGATAGATATAGATAAAAAGTGGGGGAGAGGATAAATAAGAATTAGAGATAGTTTAGGATATAATCTCTCTACTTAATTAGAGATAATTTAAGAGATAAATAGGAGTTAGAGATAATTTAAGAGATAAATAGGAATTAGAGACAATTCAGGAGGAAGTAGGGGAAAGTGGTGCCACTTGGCTAAACATTAGAAAAGTCTTATGGTTGTTAGAAATAGTTAGGTGTATGTGATTTCCTTATTGGTTTAATGGGTAATTATGTGGAATTAAAAAATAAAAAATTCAAAAAAACAGAAAATTAGGAAGGGGGTTTCCTGCAAGGAGAGCTATGCTGACACAGAAGGACCAGTTTTAATATATATATATATATATATATATATATAGAGAGAGAGAGAGAGAGAGAGAGAGAGATTATAAGATAAATTAGTATAATTCTATAAGTAAACCATTTAAAAAGAAAATAAATTATTTAATAAAAATTTAAATAAATTTGAATAAAATTTCAAAATTACACAAGTACAATAAATTTTCCAAAATTTTCATAAAACTACATTTTTGAATATTAAAGACAATTCAGTGTACTTTTAGAAAATTGCCATGTGGTTGATACTCAATATATCCTTTTGATCATTTCTATCATCAAATTGAATATTGGGTTGGCGGGGATAGTGTTCTCAAAACTGGACCAAACCAGATGGTTAGAATGAAAAATTGGGAACTGGACACCGTTTCTCCTCAAAACCTCTTTTTGTCCAAAAACCGTTTATTTGGTTAGCGAACCGCTGACCTGGGCGGTCAAACCGTAAACCCGGACAACAATTTTTGGCCTTTTTTTGTTTTTCTAATTTTTAATTTTTTTGTTAGAGCGGGTCATCCGTTTGACAAATAGACCGTTTGACCCCAGAACGGTTCCCTATCCGGTCCAATTTTAAAAACCTTGGATGGGGAGTGGGGGCCTTGCCTTGAGATTGGCTTGGTGTGTGGCATGGCCTGGCCCATGGACTAGCCCGACCCATGGCATGGCATGGGCCTGTGCAGGCTCGAGCCATGGGCATGCCAAACCGACCCCCAAATTATCCTAGAGGAGGGAGGCACGGCCCGGGATGCCTTGTGGGCTAGCACGACACGACTCGCACTTTGTGCGAGCCACATGTGGGTCATGTCTACGGACCTAGCACGACCCAATACTGGGGACGGGGCAGGGAAATTCAAAGATTCTCCATCCTTGATGAGGATTGCGGTGCCTTGCCCCTGAACTCGCTTGACATTGAGGAGTGGTTACCTTGCCCTGAACTCGCTCAACATTGGGGTGCCCTACCCTGAATCCACCCCATTGTCATTCCTATATAACTGTTAATTATTAGTGGAATTAATAAAAATGTTAGATTTTCTAATTATTTTTATTTATTTTGAAAGTAATCAAAATTTCATTTAAAAATAATAAAAAGAATAAAATTATTAAAATTACTACAAATTATTAATAAAACTAACTTTATTGAAAAATATTTATTCATATTCAATTAACAATTATTATTTTTTATAAATCAACATTAAATAAAAAATAAAAAAATTAAATCTTTTTAGATTTTTCTCGTGCATTGCACGGGTCCCTACTAGTTAACGTTTTAAAAACCGACCCAATGACTAGGTTGCATGGATCAATGGTTGAACTGTAATAGTTTCTAACTAAACAAAAGGATTTCAAAAAACTAGATTCGTAATTACATTGAGTCAACACGGGTTGAAAACACTGTTATTTATGGTCCGTAGACCTGTTCATGGGCCGGACCGGGCTTTCACTCTGCATTAACAGATTTTTCTAAGGCCCGAGCTTGGGCTCGGCCCGACCATCGTGCTTACAACTTGGGCCCAAGCTCGAAATCTAGCTCATGTCGCTGCTATTGCTGAAGCAGCTGAAGAGAGAGAGAGAGAGAGAGATTATAAAGAAAAAAAATAAAAAAGGTATATATATTAAATTATTAATATATATATTCTAATAAATATTATATAAAATACATATTATATATTTTATAAAATATATAATGCTAAGTCAGGCCGGGTTTTTTTGACAAATTCCGAGCCCGGCCCAAAACACAGTCAGTCTTACTGTTTTGGGCCCGAGATCAGGCCCGCGGGCCTAATTACATGTCCAAGCCCGACCGGGGTGCGGGCCGGGCTGTCGGACTAC